GGGCCTAGACCTTCTTCAGAAACTTCTTCATTTCTGAAGAAGGGTCTAGGCCCGAAACGTCAGCCTTCCTGCTCCTCTGATGCTGCTTGGCCTGCTGTGTTCATCCAGCTCTACACCTTGTTATCTCAGATTCTCCAGCATCTGCAGTTCCTACTATCTCTGAAACAAAATGGACAACAGACTTTTTTTATATCTTCTGTAGATAGATATCTTCTACTGCTTAAGATAAACAACATTTTTTTATTTCCAAGTGACGTTTTTTCAAAAAAGCATATCAAAAGTAAAAATGTGTAACATACTAGTGCATTGAGTGTCTCAAACTGTTTGTACGACTGTGGTTATGTAAATGTGATATATTGTTACTTGCCAAAAATGACCTTGCTACTTTATACTCTGCAAAACTAATAGCGCTCCTCAATAAGGCCTATTCTCTTTTTTGGAAAGGTTTGGCCACTACTCAATTGCTACTGGTGCTTACTTACAAAACGTTCACAATTTGCAAATAAATTGAATATTTACACTGGAGCTATCTACGTTCAACCTTTTCTTGACTGTCTTAATGATAACCAGATCTCCAAGGGTCTTGAGTTTGAGTTGAGGTGGGCAGTAAAAGAAAAGCTGTAATGTCATGCAGTCAGAGGTCCCACTCACACTTCCGTCCTTCAATTTACGAGCCGGATGACAATGTGAGCCTCAAAACATGAATGCACCAATTATGAGATAAATTACCAACAGAGAGGGGTTAGCTATCGATGAGTGGATTGGAGTTTAGCAACTGTCTGAATCAGATATTCAGATGGAGGTGGGGACAATGTCTATGATAGTTCATGGAGGCATGAAGACTTGAGACAGCTAAAAACAAATACATTTTTGAGATTAATGGGCTCAACCCTTTGAATTTAAAGTTGTAGCTGCTCATTACAGATCAAGGAAGAAGAAAGCATTGTCACCCCACTAGCATCACCTGCCACTGTGTGGGCATCAGAGAAGTGGACATTACTTTCAGATGCCAGCTGAGCATCAGGAGGAGTACAACTTGAAAAGGATCGTTCACCCCTAGACATCTAGGCCATTAGTGATGAAGAAAGCAGACCACATTGGAAAATAGAGTCCTTAGCATCAAGAGGCCAGAAGAAAGGTTGAGGCGCACGAAGGAAAAGGAAACACTGCCTGAGCACAGAATTTACTGACAAAGGTGCAAATACTGAGAACTTGTGTTAAATGAAACTGTGACTTTCTAGGCAGATGGTCACAACTGTGCCTTGTCAATGCAGACCTCTACACCACATTACAGACTGAAACATCACCTAGATGACAGATGTTAGACAACACAAGATAACTGATCGGCATTGTAGGCTCAGAGGGCACAGAGTCCAGTGCCTAAGGCAATACAATCATGTGGTGCTTTGCAATACCTTGCTCTGAAGGTCTCAGTTAGTGTGATATGCTGCTGTTCTCTCCATGAAATGAACGTCCATGGACCTTAAGGATAGTGTGGACTTGGAAAGCGTCAGTCCCTTCAGGATAGGAGTAGGAAGTAAGACAGGAAGGGAAACTGGAGGCAGACGGAAATAATTGCTGATTGGGGAGGTGGTAAAGTGCCCCATAAACTGGCCTAAATGGCTAGTAAGTTTGTCAGCTTACTGAAAGGGATTGATATCCCTTATTTGGAAATGTATGCTAAATGTGAGAACCAGGGCAACATGTTAAAAAAGTTTGTGATTGCAACCAACCAGAGACACACTTGATAGAATAGGCAAGCTGGACAATATCTCACAAATCATAAGGATGGAACTTAAAAATGTGATCACCTACTGTCATAGAATTATATAGCACAGAAGAGGCCAGTTGGACCATTGAGTCTGTACTGCTAAAAATACACTACTACCGGCAGTATTCCCACTATCCCCACACTAGGCCCATAGCCTTGATTAATGTGACATTTCAAATAATCATCCAAGTGCCGTCTTATTTCCAGCCATGTCAAATCTCACAAATTATCAGAACAGGTACAATCTCCAGATAAGATTTAGCTATATAACCTCACAGGAGGCTTTGAAATCTTCAAATGTTTGATAGGCATTCAAAAATGGGTCTTTTACAGTGTGCTGCCTCTGACTCCTGTCCTGGATGGATCAGAATAAACATAATATTAGGTCTGCCATGTAATAAACAGTTAGGATGGCTCACGGGCTCCCGAATTGCTTATGTCTCTTGCAGCCTCAAGGAGTCCATGTTCCATGTACATACTAGGTACGATTGTTTACAGTCCCTTTTTCACTTTTGAAGCAAGGGGCTCCTCAAGTTTTCGGTGTACTTCAGCCCCATGTGCTTAATCTATGGCCAGCCACCATGTAGGGGACAGGGAGGTCTCAGGGCTTCCCTCATGAATGTGCTCCTGTGTCTGGCCAAGGTCACCAGAAAGAGGCAGTGGGTGGTTATGAAATGCCATGCTACGGAGAGGAAGAGTGCACATTTCACTGGCACACTCAAGGCCTTCTATCCCCAGGGGTGTGGGGAGGTGATGACAGCATGGCTGTTGATCTCCCTTGCAACACCCATCATCTTGTTTGTGCAAGCTGGCCAATCTCTTGGTTGCTGCAGGGGCTGGAGTGGAATATTAATTTTAATTTGAATATGAATTCAAATTTGTACCCTTGATTTCTCTTAGAGTGACCCTTTAAGGGGCTGGTGCCCTTTAACTTGGTTTTAATTTGATTTGATTTGGATTTTTTGATTTAATTTGATTTAAATTGATTTAACTGATTTTTTTTAAAGCTAGCATTGGGTCCCTTGTCAGCAGGAATGAGAGGAATGAATGATGATGACACTCAAAGATATGGATACACAACAGTTACTTTCTGAGCTGGGAGGAAAAGCTCAAATTCTAATACAAGGCTGCTATTATTCTGCATGAAATCGATTGCATGATAGTGCCACCTTCACATGACGCAAGCACACTAAACTAAATCATAATTGTACTGTGATTCCCCTCAAAGTCAGATCTTCTAGTACAAAGCTTCAAAAATCAAGACAAGCTACTATTCCAGTTATAGAAAGGTTGTAAATAAACACCAGTATATCAGACCAACAGGGATCTGGGTCAGAAGGTCCAGGTTCAAGCCATGTCTGCTCCAGAGACGTCATAATGTGTCTGAATGGGTTTATTAAAAATATCAATCAAATCTACTGTCACACACTGGGGATCAGATTTTCATAGTCCTAACTGGGACGAAGTGGAGGTGATTCTGGGAACAATGACAGTCTCCAAGCAACATACCCAGACACCTGGTGACAATTTTCATGAAACTAGGAGAGAGACCCAGTTCTGGACCCACCCACACTTATACAGGAGGCATTGTGGGCACAGCAAGAGTCTGTGATAATTTTAATTTTCAAATAAGTAGCTAGATTTCAGCAACTGATGGCTTTAACGCCAACTATATGGAGGTGTGAGCCATGGATTGGATGTGGGAAAAGTTGAAAAGGTAAGTAAAATTGATTTGGCTTCTTAACAGATTCTGTGACATGAGTTGTTACTTGTTAATTAGGGTGAGTTTTGACAGTCATTTCAAATTGTAACTATCACTTAAATGTGTTTGTCAGACAGCTGTTTTTGTAAACTGGCCAGCAGTTGAGTAAAAGATCAACATTATAAATGTGGAATAGTCCTCAGAATTAAGAAAAAGTTAGAGGACATTCCATACTACTGATAAGTTGGCCAAGCATGACACAACAATGTATAAATGTTTAATATTTTCCCATTATTTTTATGTACATTTGACAAATATCTTTTGAAGTAGCAGTTCTGAAGGCAGTTTATTTTCACAGGGAGTTTTATGGGCCATTGGTTCCAATGTAACAGCCTAATTATCTTATAACTCTTTGATCTTGTTTACATATTTGTTTTAAATTTATTCATTTGGGGAATTTTATGGGCTATATAACAGCTTCTAGCTATGACAATAAGTTTTTATATACTGGATTAGATAATGGATAAGAATTTGGGTGAGGGGATATATTGAGGGGTTTTTTAAGTGGCCAGATAGTTGAACTGTATAAAGGTGAACTGCTGATTGCATTGCAATACTTTATCTGGAAACAAAGGCAAGCATATTTGGCATCGACCTTGAGAAAATCCAGTATTCTGGCAGACTTGAGACAGGGTCGGGAATGGGACATAGAATTAGCCCTGTCTCCTGACTCCTTCCTTCAATTTGAAAATCTGATCCAGGGTGATTATCATTGGCCCCCTTTGTTACTGACTGGCAGAGACATTATTTTACAGTAAGAAGAACAAGTGTGTCAGCCATAGTCCAAAGCAATGGCTGGTTACAATTTCTCTTGGCAAGTGCCTGTATTATGAAGGTCTCTAACTTTTTTTGGCTTGAGTTTGAAGGAATATGGACACCTTCTTTTAAAGAGAATAATAACAGGACTTTGGATTTTTTTTTTTAAAAGGCATTTCATGGCCTGGCTTGTGATAACTTCTTA